CAATGATTCGATCAGGTCTCGTTAAACCTGTGAAGTCTGCGGGTTTTGATTGACCATCAGTCACACGTTTCCATCACTGTCTCACGCCAACACTACAGCTGTCAGGAAGTGACAGACACCGGCGCCGGTGGATTGATGATGACATCACAGACACATCAAAGTCAGCTGATTGTTGGTTGCCGCTTCCCCGGCTCAGTGAGCACTCTGATCTCCTGTTTTCCCTGTGATTTACTTGTTTCCATGCCGACACTGGGGTGCAGTGAACAACCAATCAGATGCGGTAAAGGAGATCTTTAGCAGTCTCACACTTCAGACTGACACCTTCATCCACCTGCATCTTTTCGCATCAGCCTGCAGAACAACCCCACCATGACCCGTATGCCCCGTTGAGGAGCTGCACAAGTCACGATAAATCAACAAGTCAGACGGGTTCATCCTCTGACCGCTTACCTGTCACACTGCACCTGTGACACTACAGGTGTCACACTGCACAGTGTTTCATGTCTCATATTGACCTGCTTTCTTTAATAAAAAGAAAATCAATTGAATAACTTTGAGATGCTCATCAGTGAAATCTTAACTAAACATTAACCTGGTGGTTTGACCCCATCAAAATGCTTAGTATGAGCAGCTTAATAGTTCCTGTTTTTCTGCTACAGTTTCATGCAGAATTAGCCCCGTTATTAAAGTATGTTGCAGGGTGAGGCCCCATGAGACGCTTGCTTAGCTCCGATGTTTGTCTTTGTAAGACACCGGACCAGAGTCTGTGTGATAAATCTGCCAATCATATAACAGTCAGGAAGTCTCAAAAGCAACATGATGCAGAAACCATGTAAACGTGATCTCATACAGAGAAAAACATCCTGAAGAGAACTGAAGAGAAAATCCACTGATCTACTGCAGCTCCCTCTCAGGAGGTCAGAGCTGCTTTGACCTGGTGGGCTGGTATGAAGCTATGGTGGTGTTGAAAGTGGGCTGGGATGAAGCTGAGGGGATGGTGAGAGCAGTTTGGGATGAAGCTGTGGGGATGTGAGAGCAGGTTGGGATGAAGCTGTGGGGATGGTGAGAGCAGGTTGGGATGAAGCTGTGGGGACGCTGGGAGTGGGCTGGTATGAAGCTGTGTGGACATGGCAGTGAGCTGGGATGGTGGGAGTGGTTGGAATGAAGCTATGGGGGACGCTGGGAGTGGGCTGAGGTGTTGCTGTGGGAACGCTGGGTGTGGGCTGGGATTAAGCTGTGGGGATGCTGGGAGTGGGCTGAGGTGTAGCTGTGGGGACGCTGGGTTTGGGGCTGGTATGAAGCAGTGGGAACAATGAGAGGTTGGGATGTGAGCAGTCAATGATCTGCGATTTTCGTCGTTCTGCGAATATCAAATCAAAGAGTGCATGAGAGCCTTACTCACACATATACCTGCTAATCAGTAACCTCCAATCAAAATCTTCAAATTTCTCTCACCAAACCTGGAGAGAGGTACGGCCTGAAGCTCAGAGAAGGATTTCAACTTAAGTGTCTCTCATTCTGCTGTTTCTCTGATGGCTGAATTTAAGTGATGAGTTAAATTAGAAGAGAACAGTGAGGACTTCATTCCTCACCTCTGCCACTGACATCCTGTCGAAATGAGGGCTGCAGACAAAAAGTTGAATCCAATTTTTCCTTTTATCAAAGCTAACGTCTGCTTTTCACACTTCAAACATGAACAATCTGTGCTGATTAAAGTCTGAGCACATTCACCTGAAACCATCTCCTCCCTTTCATCTCTCCTGTGCTGATAATTTGATCCACTTACAGCTCCGTCACGTCCCATATCAGGTGAAACTGAGTGACAATGTGGATAAACTCTCCTCAGAAAGAGGAGGATAAGCGCGATGGTCTTCATCCTGTCAGGCTGAGGGTTTAAATCTGCGTAACGGAGTGCTAACCCAGCCCCATGAGCCAGGCTTTGGACTTAAACACACCCGCTTGCTTCAAAGCTGCAAATCACAAAAGATCATTTATGGATCTGCGGAGGAAGAGGAGGAGGAACGAGGAGTATAATCTGCCCATCTCCTCCCTGGATCCTAAATGACTCCTCAGTGAGTGTGAAGGAGGAGTTCAACTGTCCCTGCTGTGGTAAAGTCTGAGCTCTGGGATGCTTTGAGTGTCATCTCCACAGCCTGGGAGTCATCCTCCACATCAGGAAGCAGCTTTTATTTTGAAGGGAATGCAGCTGTGTTTTCCTCAGACTCAGCTGAGCATGCTCAGTGTGCATCAGCTGATGATGTGCTGCAGAGAATGCAGTGACAGGAAACAGAAACAGCTTGTTCTTCATGAGTTTCCTGCACAGACCTCCTCACTGACGCACAAGGTTATATTTTTGTGGATGAACGACAGCATCAGAGAATAACTGTGATATTATTCACAATCAAGACACACGGCAATAGAACACGCTATACAGGATAAAAAGGGGGCAGAGTCAGGAAGTGTTTAGGTCAGGAAACCGGCCAAAGCGTCTGAAGCAGCTCACCGGACGGCTTTGCAAAGAAGTCTTTAATAATAATAATAATTCTTTAATAATTTTTAACAACTTAATGCACAAATATTGCTTTAATTATTTTAAATTGAAATATTATTACTGATATTTATTATTACTGTTTGTTTCAGCTGTTGTGAGATCAGTCAAATATTATTTATCTTAATTATATGAAATTTAAATTTTTAATTCCGTTTTTTTATTGCTGTAACAGGAGGAAGAGATCACAGATTGCTGAATCAGACACTGAAACTGAAAAGTTTATTTGTAAAATGACTTTTTTTGTTGACTGAATAAAAATGTTACTTATTATTGTTTTGCTTTTGGTTATCAAACTAACACTGGTAGCAGCACCAGTGTTAGGTTGATAACCAAAAGGTTCCATAACGCAGCAGGCCACTGTGTATGAAACCTTTTTTAAATGCTCAGACTTTCCCACCATGCACTGCAGTCCTACCTGAGCAGGATGAGCTTCACCTTGGAGGCGGCACTCTTAATGATGGCTGAGGCGTTCTGGTGGCTCCGCCCATAAAGAATCTGGTTGTTAATCTGAAATGCAGACAGAGGGGTGGAGACGAGTTACCTGATGTCCACAGGTGCTGAAAGTGAGGGAGGGTTATTACCTCCTGAATACAAACAGACAGACAACAACAGTAGTAAATGTGTCCTGAGAGCGACAGACCGCTGAAAGGTCCCTGAGAACTACAAGAAGCAAAATGTTATATCAATACACACACACACACACACTGCAGATCGACCTGAGAGCTGCACTCAAGTGTTTTCTCTTCAGTCTGATGCATTTGCTCGTCTGCAGGTAGAAGAGCCACCTGCATGAGGCTTTGACATAATTGACAACAACAAATTAGAAAAAAAAAGAAAAAAAAAAAGGGATGGCCCAGATGTTGCAGATGTTGCACCGAATTCCTCACACATGATTAAAATCATCTCTCATGAATGCCATGCTTTCACTCTCACTGTGGTTGATGTAATTTATGTAAAATGATAATCTGGACTCTTCTCACCTCCAGAAGCTCGTCTCCAATCTGAATGCGCCCGTCGCGGGCAGCCGGCCCCCCGGGATGGAGCCCGACCACGAAGATGCTGACGCGGGAGCGATCCCTGTTCCCCGCCAGGCTGAGGCCCAAACCCTGCCGTTCCTTCTCCAGCTCCACGCATAGCAGCTCCCCTCGCAGGTCTCCATAACGCTCACACCACCGCTCTGCAGCCCAGGGAAGAGGAGGAGAACCAGGAGAGGAGAACAACCAACTTGAGAAATTATACACTTCTCACAAAAACACTTTTTAATCAGAGCACATCATCAAGTCACTTAAATTCCTGGATATTGATCTGATCAGGTACAGATCAGAGGGGGGTGCAATAGAGGGGCAACAATGAGACGACCCCAAACCAGGAATGGTTTTTATTTTCCCCTCCTCGTCTTTTATGACTGTTTTTCACTAGTCTTGCATTTGGCTAAGATCAGTGTCACTGCTGGTAGCATGAGGTAATACCAGGACCCTACAGAGGCTGCACAGGTAGTTCAACTCCTCCAGCGTGGAACATCAATACGTGCCACTGCCAGAAGGTTTGCTGTCTCCCAGCACAGTCTCAGGAACATGGAAGAGATTCCAGGAGAGCCGGAAAGGGCCGTAGAAGGCCTTAACCCATCAGCAGGACCGGAATCTGATCCTCTGTGCAAGGAGGGAGAGGATGAGCACTGGAAGAGCTACAAAAGGAGCTCAAGCAGGTCGCTGGAGTGAACGTCTCTGAACAAACAACCAGACACAGGCTTCATGAGGGTGGCCTGGGGGCCCGATGCCTTCTGACTGACATTTGTCATAGAATGCCCTGTGCTGTTCACAGATGAGAGCAGGTTCACCCTGAGCACATGTGATAGACGTGAAAGGGTCTGTAGAAGCTGTGGAGAACGTTATGCTGGTCTGGGGAGGCTTATCCATGGAGGGACACAGAGACCTCTGCAGGTGAGGCAACAGCACCCTGACTGTCATTAGGTATGAGGATGAAATCCTTGGATGCACTCTCAGACCCTACGCTGGTGCATAATCTTTTTGAGCAGTTATATAAATGTGCCAAGTTAAAAGACAAAGAGTCCGAGCACTGATAGAGGTTTATGGCTGTATTTGTTGGGATTTCCAGGAAGCCACTTACATGTGAAAAATAATGCCTCAGATTCACTCAGTGATCAGGAGCCCGGTGTTCAGATTGGCTCATAGACAGGGAGGAGGAGATAAAATTAAAAGCATGAAGGGGGAGGTGAAGAGGAGAAAAATGTGAAAGAAAGTGTGTAAGAAATCCAAAACACAACAGCAGAAGGGGAGGAGAGAAGAAAGAAGAACAAAGAGGAGCATTTAAGATGTGAAGGAGAAGAGTAACGAGGTGAGGAGGTAATTACGAAACAGAGAGGAGGGAGGATGGGACGAGGAGAAAAGCAGAGACAAATCTGGTGTCAAACAAAAATCAGTTTAATGATCTGTGAAAGAAACAACAAACGGTGAGGGTGAGGAAACCTGCAGCTGAGACTAAACTCCTCCACTGTCAGCAAACGTGCCTTTAATTATTGCTCTTCGCGCTTCCTGACCTTTCCAGAATCAGTGGCCGCTTTGAAGATGTGAAGGGTTTTGTGTTTTTGTCAAATGATGAGAGGATTTAAAGGTCACTGCAGTTATCAGAGATAAACTGAAAACCAGTAAATCGCTTTAAACTGGAGAATAACTGAAGCCAGACTTTTTTCATTTCCAGACAGCAAACCATCAGCGGCTTCCTGTGACACCAAAGAAAACGTAAAACATCTGCAGTTAAAACGTGACATTTTTCTTTAGTTTTTACATGGAAGCACAAAACTGAAGACATTAAAACTAATTGTACAAGCTGCAAAGGGAGGTGACATTGAAGAAGAGAATGTCCAGGTTCAAATCATCAGAAAAGTTCATTCTAAATAGCTTCAGTTTAAGGAAGAGGAGGGAGGTGAGGATGAGGAGCCATGAGAAGATGACGATGACAGCATTAATGAATGCAGACCGAAGCCGCAGACCGAAGTTTAGTTGGTGTTTCGGTTCAGCCTGCCCCAGATTGCTGCGAGCAGCCAGAGACACTGCGTATAAAGTTTGATTCAAAGCCGAGCAAACCCGGTGAGGTCACGACCGCGTTCAGTACTCACCGAAGCCACGCTGCCATGCCACGAAGGCAGAGAGTGCAGTATTTGTAATTTAATACATTTAATATGATGATGTAAATGGGCCTCTGTCAGCATCAGAACCATGATCAGTGTCAGACTCGGAGATCAGTCCTGGAGCACTTTTTGTTTCCTTTTGTTTGCTCAGGTTCAAGCACCAAAACCTGCTTGTTGAGGGGTCAGGAGGTCAGACCAGTCCTGTGTTTGTGGCTCTGGGGCCCGAGGCAGCAGATATTCTCTGAGACATGCCTGGAAGCAAGTTGAGCACTTGTTTTTAATCATCATGTTGCTGTCAGAGCACTTTCTCTAAGGAAAACAAGCTGCCACAAACGCCTCCTTTCCTCTGTGGCATCGACTCAAACGACCAGGTCAGATGAGATCTGACGGCAAATGAACAAGCAGCAGAGTGTAGACAGGATGTGTTTGACACTGATTTCATCACAGAGCCCCATTCAGACAGTTCCTTCAGTTTTCCCACAGCTTTAAGAGGCATTAATGACTCTCTGCTCCCAGCGCTGAGGTGGGACACACTCTGACAGGGAACATTTAATTACTATCAAATTTGTGGCCGCTGATCGGAAGAAGCTGTCACACACTCAGCTACAAACGACCTAACACAACGCCATGAAGCTAAGCACGTCGAGAATCATAGGAAATATCTGAGATGGCAAACAGCCACCCCAAAATATCGTCCACAGCTGAATCACATTCATACATGGACCCGAGAAGAGCCCGCTCTCATCACTAGCTCCTCACACGCCACCTCAGGTACCTGAGGTCACTGCAGCTCCTCTGACATCCAGCAGAGGCAACAGTGAGTCAGGCTCCACAGACCTGATGTTAAAATGTCACAGCAGAAACAAACATGTGTACAGCCTGATACACAAATTGTTTGGTTTGGTATTAGGGGCGTGGCCTCTGCGAGTGACAGGTGGATGGTGACACAGGTAACTGTAGCTGCTACCTGTCTGATAGCTTCACCTGAACTGGACCTCTGCACTGTGTTTGTGCTTTTGGAGCTTTGTGAGCACCCCATCCTCTCACGCAAATACGGTCACAGCCAAAATGCTAAAGCAGAGCGTCTGAATGTCCATCTTCTTTTTACAGTCTATAGTTGCACACAGACTTTCCCTGCAGCGTTTCCATAAAACACTAAATATAAAAATAACTTTGCATTTGCCTGTGTGAAGCTGGAAAACAAAAATATCTACAGAGAACACACAACCATGCTATTAAAATCTCACACATACATACGCAAACACAGTTTAATAAAAGGCTAACAGTTTTCAGACGGGAGGCAGGTGTGTGTGTGTGTGTGTGTGTGTGTATTTAATGAGCTATTAATAGCTTTAATGTGACAGGTAACTGCAGGTGTTAATGCCTCTCATGGTGAGGAGAGGTGGCTGAAGGACGGAGTGCCCCCATCACCGGCTGCTGTTCTGATGATGGAGGCGTGTCAGGAAGAGGAGCAGGCGCACCTTTTATTGTGTGTTTAATGTGAATTAAATTGTTGGGAGTGCTTCTCTTGGTCAGGATGACAGGATGTCTTGTTAAGCTCTCCTCTCAGGAGGCTCAATGTGTTCAGCTGACAGAAATCTATTAAAAATACATAAGGAGCTAAACTGCTGCCCCGTGCCCGCAGTACAGAAACTACCAAATTAATTAACCACTTCCACTCCGCTGCTCCGGCCACTAATTTGAAATGGTTTATCAAAGCAGCAGAATGCAGCTCAGAGTTTGGTGTTCAGACTCAGTTCATCCAACAAATATTATGCAGTGATAGACTGCAGGTGCATGGTGGTGGACAATGGGACAGCAGCTACGTGTCACAGACAGGACATTATCCAGATGATTAAATAGACTGAACCCTGACGGTGAGTTTGGGCACCGCCTCATTCATGGTGGAAAGATTTTGCAGCAAAATTTGTCCAAATGGTATAAAAGATTGAATCAAGTTCAGAAATCCAACAGGTCAGCCTACTTAGCTGCTGCACATCTCCATTCCACTTTGCAACCCACCTTCACCCAGTGCCTCCTCTCATCACTGTCATATCTGTTATGGATGACGCTCCATCCTCCTGCTGAGGTCACAGAAAAGTCAGTCTGCAGCTTTTAAACAACCAGCAAGAGAAAAATATCAGTTTTTAGTCTTTTCTTCATTATAAATTAAAGTAAAACAGTTTCTCACACTTCAGTGTTTTTAGAGAAGCTAGTTTTAGGCAGATGGAGTGGTTACCCAACATTTCAAAATATATCACACAGGTATTCAGATCTCCTTCTTTGGGTTTGGGAATGAGTCATCCATGAGTAATTGGGAGGAGCAGAGGCAGAACGCGGTGCTGCCCTCACCCATGGTTATTCACTTTGGGTAAGGAAAGAAAGAACGAGGCATGGACTACAAGAAGCTCAGCTGCTTCTTCGTACTGAGCAGAGCCAGCAGAGGTGGTGCAGCGTCTAATCATGGCACCCTTCGGGGAGGAGGACTGGGAGGAGATAGACTGCGAAGTCACTGGAGAGATTTTATTTCTTATCTGGGCTGGAAGCAGCTGAGAATCCCTCAGGAGGAGGCCGAACACACTTTCAGGAAAAATCCATGTGGAATATGACACAATTCCCACCTCAGCTTCAGATAAAAACAAGAGGATGGGCAGGTGGGTGAATGTGACCTGCTGAAGTGGTCATCATTACTTCTACTGGAAAGTGAGCAGGACGTTTATGCAGACCCTGAACTGCAGGTCATAAAAGCTTAAATCTACAGGCTTGTGCGTGTGCACACACACACACACACACACACACACACACACACACACACACACACACACAGGAGACACTTAAGGAGAAGAAAGTAGAAGCACTTCTGTTTCTAATCTGTGTCTGAGAGCTGAGAGGAGGCTGCAGAGAAAACTTCAGCCCTCGCACATCTTTCCAGGAGACAGGGGAGGCTGGTAGAGGCGGCAAGCCACAAACACAGCGTGACTACAGGGGGCGCTGCAAAGACGGCGCACATGCATATCAATGCAGCACAC